TGTGTTGATGACTTTTTTTTACACAATTTGTGTTGAATCAACACTCTATTGTGTTGAATCAACATACTAAAATGTTAAATTCTACATGCTAAGATGTTAAATTCTACACAAACATTTTTACACTTTACACAATGACGAAAAATTTTTTACTGTGTGTGTGTGTAAACCTCCTCATAAATTTAAAATAACTTTTTTCTATTAACAGCTTTTAAACAGATGTAACAATCAATTCCAAAATCTAAACAGTTTTTTAATTTAAAAAACGACGTTGACTGCTGCAAACCGCATCAAAATCGGGTGATGTGTTGAAGAGGAATCGTACACTAATTATTTTAAAAAAGTGTCTTTTTCAAATAACATCAAATTTATTCTCGAATTATTTTTGATGACATAATTTAACTGAACCCTGATTTAAAAAAAGTATTGAACCATGCAACTGTATATCTATATTGTATGTATATATAGATATACAGTGTGTGAAAAATATTGAAAAAGTATTGAATTACATACTTTTTCAATACTTTTTTTTAATCAGGGAATACTCAGAAAACTGAGTCAGAGGCCGCTAATTGCTTCAAAATCATTTGGTGCGCTTGTGAGATATTTAATTTAAAAAGTAAAATCTTCAGGCCTACAAGATATTCAACTTGAAAAAATTTTGCTGAATCCCTAAACCAAGAAAGAGAGTGCAAAAAAAAATTACGAATCTTTTTTTTTCGTGCTATTACTTTGAATTGCGTGAGAATTATGAGTCTAAAATTTTTTTCACCGGGAGTTCCAAATACTTGAATTTTCTCAAGAGAACTCTTTTTTTTTTATCTTGATATTATTTTTACTCAAGCGAAACCCGTCAAAAATTACGACAAAGTTTTAAAATTTTTTTTACTACCTCAATTTTTGTTAGGAATATAGTGCTTCAACTGACAATGTCTCTTTTTTGGGTGATTTGTTCCTCTCTTTGGGTTCTTTCGTAGACTTATCGATAAGAAAATGTTATTTTTTTAACGATATTTCATTTTCGGATGAAGAAATTTTTTTTTTCACTCTTTTAGGGAGTACCCCATTTTGCCCGCAAAAAAAAAAATTTTTTTTCCACGGCAACTTGAAATTTGATTATTTTTCTTTAATTACGACTGAAAACGAGAAAAATCAACGTACTGAAGTCCTTAAAATCATAGCGATTACTTAAGTACCCCATTTTGCCCCCCCCCTCCCCTAATGATGCATTAAATATTATTTTCAATAAATTTATACATCTATAATTATATAAAATACTAATAAATTTATAGCTGTAATAAAGTTCTAGAATATTTACGGAGAGTAGTGTATAAAATAAACAATAAAAATTCTATAAATAGTAACATTAATTAAAACATGGAATTAAATTTCATTAATATTAATATTACGTAAGGATTTATTAGTAAAAATATCGCGCCCAACCGGATATTTTTAGTTTAATTCAAACAATAGTAACTTAATACTAGCAACTATATTTATAACAATAAACACGTTAAATTAATGATAATCCTGAAGAACTTTCATGATTAGATTGTAGTATTTATATTTTCTTCTATAGAACATTAATATTTAGTATTCAATATAACTGAAGAAGATATAAACGAATCGAGTTCATTAATAACTTATCAATAAATTAACTGCTTTCAACAAATATATCTCATTTAGTCAGTTTAATGAAATCTCTGTGAACTTCGTCACTTAAAGTTCGTTGTCACAGCATTATACACGTAAGTTTTCTTCATTTTCCCATTCGTCAGAAGCATAGTTGTCGTTGTTGTTGTTGTCAACTCTGTTCAGTTCAAATTTAAATTTAAGACGTAGCGAACATTTATCGAAATTTTTTTCAAATGTTTACACTTTGCCAGTTCAAAAATATTTTTAAATAACAATAACTTTACATCAATATATATGTTCATTTTTTTGTGTATAAAAAGGATACTCAGAAGCAAGTAAGAAAATATTTTAAACCAATAATTTTTCCGTTTTCAATTAATGCAATCAAATGGCGCTTAATCCGACATCGGGATGATAAAAGTATAAATATTATTACAGAACTTAATGTAGAAAGTGTAAAAGCCACAATTTATAATTTAATATCGAAAATAAGTGATTAGTAGCTGTCACTATAGTAAATAACGACTCTTTCATCTTAAAAAATTACAGTTTCAAACAGTAAAAATTGCCATTTCAATATATAGTCCATACTATGAGAAGAAGGGGAACTCAGATGAGGAGAAGGGGGTGTCACTCTGGGAGAATTTAACATTTGAAACAGTAAAAATTATACTTTTAAAGAGGTTTGGGCGAACCTGATGTAAAAAATAATTTCCAACTTTGAGCTTTGAAATTAAGTATACGTTTAAATAAATACGTTATTTATCTAATTCCAAAATTTTAAAAAAATTCACCGTTTAGTTTCTTAGATATTCAATTTTACAAATCACATATTTTATCTCCTTATACACGGGCTCTTATGGCGGACAAACTTTTGTCGAGACTTTAATTATTTATTTCAATATTAACCTCCCAACTTTAACGGATAAAAAACTATACACGCAAAACTTGGATTATTGCAAAATATAAAAACAATTTAATAATAATACATTACCGATATAATTTTTGATATATTTAAAGTTAAATTTTATGTTTGTAACTCGTTTATCGTCAGCTATTTATTCGAATAAACATTTGACAACATCGCGTCAACAGCTGAGAAAAAACAAAAGGATAGAAATATAGTTAAAGAGAGAGAAATGTTTAACTCAGTCTCATCCATGTCTCAGTTATGGGTATAATCAAGTGCGCTATTGCCAAATCTATTTATTTATTCCGGCAAGTAATAAATACCAAAGTCATTTTATTACTTTACTTTATTAAATAAGTAAAAGTTATCAATTATTAAATTGTTTAAATTATTTTAAATTAAAATAAAGAATTTTGACGAATATTGGGAAAACTAAAATTAATAGTATATTACATACCTAGGGCAATAAAGTAAGAAATAGTAAAGTACCGGCGAGTAATAAGGCCTAGCTAGCTATGGGAGATTTTGAAAAAATCTAAAATATTGCTTTTAATTATCGAAATGTATCCCCAATCTTTATTTTAATACATTAGCCATAAAATATAATGAAGTAATGGTAATTTTCACCATAAACAAACACAAACATGCCTTATTTTACAACAGTAGGGTAATAAAGCCTACGGATTAAACATACTGGAAATAGTTATACAATATTTAATAAAAGTCACAATTCTCAATTATTACACTTTACTATTTTCAACTTTCACGTAGCGAATATTACTGTTTGAAATAGTATTTTCTTCCATGTAAATAATAAATTGTCTCATTTAAATGATAAATATTATAAAGTGATAGTTAAAATCATGAATTTACTGTTTGAAATGGTAATTTTTCCAGTTGATCATTACTAATTACAAATCGACTATTATTTATTACAGTTTACTTTTTTCCGCGTAATTTTTTGCTGTACTGATATCCTTTCTTCCATTTTCCAGGTAAAAAATGATTACCCTGGAGCACATCGGATACTTTATCTTATTCTTGATATTCATTTACTGGTACACAACCGCAACATTCAAATTCTGGTCTAGCCGCGGCGTAGCTGGACCCAAACCTACAGCCTTCATCGGAAACTTCCACGACGTGTTGTTCAGCAAGATATCCCTCGGAGAATGGTTAGCCAAGTACTACCACGAATACCCAAATGAGCCTATGGTAGGTGTCTTTGTCCGACGAACGCCACTGCTGATTCTTCGGGACTTGGACCTGATAAAGGACGTGTTCATCCGTGACTTTTCAAAGTTCCACGACCGAGGTTTGAAGACCTTCGAAGACGCGGACCCACTGTCCCAAAACTTGATAAAACTGGAGCACGCGAGGTGGCGCCCACTCAGGAACAAGCTGTCTCCTGCTTTTACCTCAGGAAAGCTCAAAGAAATGTTCTACTTGTTAGCAGAGTGCGGAAACTACTTCCAAGATTACCTTGAGCGGACAGTTGCCAAAGATGAGCCAATAGAAGTTCGTGACCTGACGGCTCGCTTTACCACAGACGTAATTGGAACCTGTGTGTTCGGTGTGCAAATGAACGCGATGAGCGACGAAAACAGTGAGTTCCGTCGGATGGGCAAATATGTGTTCAAAGTGAATTCGTTCAAATTGTTCCGGTTCCGCGTTCGCGAGCTTTTCCCCGCGATTTACAAGATTATAGGGCCTGCTATGAAGGACAAAATGATCGTCGACTTCTTCATGAACACGATGAAGGACGCAATTGCGTACAGGAGGAAGTACAACGTGGTTAAGCATGACTTCATCGATCAGGTGATGGAACTCCAGGACAATCCGGATAAGATTGAAATCAAGCTGACTGATGAATTGCTGACGTCTCAACTCTTTGTTTTCTTCTTGGCGGGATTCGAAACCTCGTCGACGACGATGAGCAATGCGCTCTATGAACTGGCCTTGCACCAAGACGTCCAGGACAAATTGAGGGCAGAAATTTTGGACACTCTCAAGGCTTGCAATGGACATCTTACTTATGATGTTATCAAATCGATGAAGTACATGGAAATGGTGTTTAGAGGTGAGTTCTCGGTACTTTTGTGTTCTTTCTGTTGAATCAAATTGTTCAATGTTCATTTCAGAATCTTTAAGACTTTATCCACCAGCAACGTTGCTCGTCAGACGCGCCAATTGCAAATATACATTCTCTGGCACAAATATCACGATACCAACAGATATGAAGATCATGGTCCCGGTTCTAGCGATTCATCGCGATCCGCATATCTATCCGAACCCAGAAATTTTTCAACCTGAAAGATGGACCCCGGAGGGTAAGGCGTCAAGACATCCGATGACTTGGCTACCTTTTGGCGCTGGTCCTAGAAGTTGTATTGGTAAATATACTTCTCCATTACTATTCTTAGGATCTTGGTCGGAATTTTTTGGAAATTGAAGATTCGAGCATTACTAGGAATTCAAATTGTGCGCATACGCGCGCGCTTTAATCCTAACCAATAGGGGATCAATAACCATTCTTTCGAGATTTTCGATACTAAACTAACTTCAGTTCAATCATCAATTTTATATTATAGGATATTTCACTTAAACTTTTAGTTACCAAGCATAAAATATATTTAAGAGGTTGACTCAGGACCAAAACTAGGTCTTTTTGAGGTTTAAGTTACATTTAGTTGAAGAAATGAGCGCTAGATGTCGCTAGGTGTTGTAGTCAAGTAGAGATTTGTGGAGTAAGTGGGCCCCTGGCGGATTCGGGTTTACAGTAAAATGATCGTGAAACGACGGTGAATGTACCGTGAATTCACAGTGTCGACAAATGATCGTCGAATGACCGTCACTTGACTGTCGAACGGCCATCATTTGACAGTGAACGACGAGTATCATTGTGAAAGTTTTTCACTGTTACTTTATGATTTTTATTCTGTATAATAATCATACTTCACTCTTCGAAAAACCAAATTTTTACTTGACTTCTTCGATTTTTTACCTAAGTAAAAATCGTAGATCATCGATCGATCGTCTCTGTCATTGCACGGTAGTTTGTAAGTGAAACGAGCGTATAATGTCGGTAAGTCAGGAATGTTTTACTAGTCAACGAAAAAAAATTGCTGACAATATTTTATTTTATTTCATTTCCATAAAAATACTCAAACCATAAATTATAAATTATGATCGCTATATATTTTTATATTATTATGTAATATTTTATAGTTGCCATCTGGCCTGTGCCTTGGCATTAATAAATCTAAATAATCTAAATAATCAACATTGTTTTTCTTTTTTTTTTTAATTGGGGGATATTTTATTCAATAATTAATTAATAAATTATAATTTAATTTCAACTTAACTATAAACTTATTTTCTACACGTCAAATACTTTCACCGTAATTCAAAAATTTGAATCCATTATTAAAAATTTGAGTTTTTTTTTTTTTAGAGACGAAAACTTTAATTACGAAATTACGGAAAAATTGTTTGTTATCAAGAAAAATTATTCTGAGATTTTTTAACAATTAAATTTTTAGCAATTTCTTTTTCAAATCTTTTTTTATACAGTTAATAATTTCACCGCAATTTCGAAATCAAGAATTTCGTAATCATCAAAAATTTGAATCATTTATTACGATTATTATTTTGAAGTCCCGGAAAAAATATAACTTTATTTAAGCTATTTTTATCTGTACAATGAAAAAAATGACTTGGTTTTGACACCTTATCATGTCACTGAATCGAATACCCCGCGCGTTGCCTCGGATAGCCCAACTGGTAAAGTTTCGGGCACGCGACCATTTGAACCGCGTTCGAGTCCCGGTCTAGACTGTCCGAAGTATTTTTTTTTATTTTATTGTCCGTGATAGTAGCGTAAAATCACCGTATTTCGACAGTATATTGAGCGTACAGCATCGGTCATAACATCGTAGATTCATTTGCGTATACACCGTATATATTCAATAAATTAATAGTAGACATCGTTCACAACGGTATCCGATGCTGACTGATAGATCGCTCGGTAAGAACGAACTTTATACGGTGAAACGACCGTGAAACAACTGTCAAGCGACCGTGCTGCGACCGTGTGGAAGGGGGAAGTTTGTGATATGTAAAAGCAAATTAAAGTTTTGTTAGTGGAAAATTAGCTTATGCAAGAAAAACCTATATGATATCATTTGTTTACTTAAAAAATAAAGTATTAAGAGTCTGATGATATAAAGGTGAAATTTGCTTTTATGGTAAAGATTGTCACACTGTACTGTGGGTAGTAAACTAAAGTAAATTAATTTTTTACGGTCAATAGTGTATTTGAGCTTTTTATTTAGCATGACATTTGAAGTTTTGTTATGTCTCAATAAAGTTATGTAAGTGTTATTAAAATTAGTCTACTGAGGGCACGAAAAATCCACGAACTTCCCATAGTTGCGCAAATTTACCCCACACGAGTGCGCTGACTTAAGGTTTTAGACTTTATTTTCTAATTTAATTATTACCTAAATAAATTCTCTATCAAAGACATATTTTTAATTTCCTTTCATGCTTATCGTTTAATTTTGACACTAATTTGAATGCTTAAGTGCGCAAACTTGCCCCACATGACTCTATTTGTAATACTTAATTTTGAACGTATGTTTTATTAATCTACGAGTAGCATAAATTGAAATTATTTGCTAAGTTTTATGGTGAAAAACATATCTGTGGTAGATAATATAAAAATTTGTTCAATTTTCAGGGGCAAGATTTTCAAACCATCAATCAAAAGTCGGGTTGATAAAAATCCTCGAAAAATATAGTGTTCATCCATGTGAAAAAACAGAAATTCCATACAAAATTCATCCAACTGGATTTTTATTAGCGCCATTGAACGGAATTCATCTTAAATTTTCAAAATTGTAGTGTGTATTGTTAACCAAAAACAAATTGACTTTTTATAATACTTATCAATTACATTGTCATCATCATCAAGCTTAAAGTTCACGAAGAACCGCTACTTTAATTCACAAATTTAGATGCAAAAAATCTTGCATACTTTTAGCGCTTCTTCGTGAAATTTTTCAGAATCATCGTCAAACTCATAATTAATATAAATTTGAATATTATAATTATAATGTATAAATAAAAATAATTGGCAGTAATAGAAAGTGAGTGAGTAAGTGTATCATATATGTAAATGTCTTTGTACAATCAATGTTATTAATAATCATTTTTATTCAAGTTTTAAGTCAATGCATCGTAGTTTTAATTAAATATAACAACAATACTATCTTCTTTTATGATAATTATGTGAAAAAAATTGATATCAATGCAAACAATGTTATTCATATTTCTTTTAAATGAAATCAATTTTTCTTTATTTACCCTTCATTTGTCACAACATAAGCCCGAAGTACCGACTTTGGAATCTGCGTTAATTATATTGCTTTATTATCACTGTTTGTTGCGTTTATTATGACTTCTGTGTAAATAATCACAAAGTTATCGTATAAATTAAATATTCCTTGATTGTCGCATAATCAGAAGCTTTAAAATCATAATATGAGACGAAATTGACGAAATAGCAATAATTAATTTCTACGTTATCGATAGTTAGTTATCCTCAGCAAAACATCAATCAAACAGCTCGATTGATGTTTAAAAAAATACCATTTTTTGGAACCAACAAAAAAGCCCGATGGTCTACTTCATAATTATGGTCTGTTTTGTCACAAATATCTACAGTATGATTTCGTAATACGGTAATTACTCCTATTTTTGTTTGCATTAAACCAAAGCGCGCGCCTATGCAATTTCGCGGTCCGTCACCAAATGACAAGAAAGTCATGTCGTGGCGACTTTTGACTTGTTCCTCGCTGAAATGTTCGGGGTTAAAGACACTGGGATTTGGATAGTACTCTGGGTCTCTTTGTATTCCAAGCATCGGGATCCAGACTTCAGTTTTTGCAGGAATTGTCAGATTAGTACCGGTGAAAGTGTAAGGTTCCATTGAGCGACGAGTCAAAAACGGTAACGGTGGATACTTTCGCAAAGTTTCTAGAAAGTATTAATAAATTAGTCGCATAATATTTATCTTATTCATCGGATAAATTTATAAAACGCACCTTTTATTACTTTATCCAAGTACTTCATATTTTTGACTCCCTCGTAAGTGAACTTTCCGTCGGTGCGAATCAACTCGTCTTTGATTTCTTGCCTCAGTTTTTCTTGGACCGAATGATTGAGCGCCATTTCATAGAGAGCGTTACCGATGGTCGTTGATGAAGTTTCAAAGCCCGCGGCGAAGAAAACAAAGAGTTGGGCTGCTAACACTTTATCTGTCAATTCTGCAACGAGATTTGATGTTACAAAACGATACTAATTATGAACAATGATTATTTGACTAAAAAGAAACTCTAAATTCTTGCCTAGTTCCCCAACTTTACTCGGCTCATCTTTCAACTCTATCAGCAAGTCAACGAAATCATGTCTGTTGATCCTATTTTTTCTTCTGTAATCCATCGTATCTTTGGTAATCCCAATAAAAAAATTATCTAGCACACTATCCCTAAAAAAGTACCCCACAACTTTATAAAGCTCCGGCAAGAAACTCCCCAAAATAGTTCTCCCTACGTTCCTAATATTCAGCTCAAAAATCCTCTTGCCCATTTTCCGAAATAGACTGTCCTCCTCCGCTAGCGCATTAGCTTGCAATCCAAAAACGCACACACCAATGACATCCGTTGTGAATCTGGTGGCTATTTCACGCATATCAACCTGTCCATTTTCGAATTTGTCCAAGTAAGTTTCCATCTGATCAGCGCACTGCACCAGCAAATAAAACATATCCTTCAATTTCACCGAAGTAAACATCGGAGTCAGCTTCGATCTTAAGGGACGCCATCTCTGAGGCTCTAAATTAAACAAATTAACTGCCAAGGCCTCGTGCTTATCATGGATCTCTCGCCCGCGGTCCGCGAATTTGCTGAAGTCTTTTATCAAAACGTCTTTTATCAAATCCAAGTCATTCACGATCAAAATCGGCTTGCGCAACCGATAAACACCCACTAACTTACTTTTTTTGTAGGTCGTGTAAATTTCTTGGAGGTAAGTTCCCAAGTTGTGTTTTCCGATCACAATGTCTCCGACTGTTCCAAAAGGAATTGAAGGTTTTGGACCGACTACATCTTGCGATGACCAGTAATTCCAATTGTTTATAAAGTAATAGTAATATATTACTAGGAATATAATAAGTAAGCTTAATTCCAGCCACATATTTTAAATCTGATGAGATACTTTGGGTTCAACCATGACTTAGTTTGTCCGAAGAACAACTATGTCCATAGTCGAATGATTCTAATGACTAATGTGTTATTTATGTGCAATGAATATCTTTCGATTTTGCACATGGACTTACAAAATTACTTACTGCGATAGTGCGATAGTAACTATCTCTAGAAATTTGAATTGTAAATTATTGTCATAATTATGAATAATTTACCTACACCATGGTAAATTTCCGTTAATTTTCTAACAACAGTAAAAACTTTTACTATTTTTCAGTATTATAAAATTTGGCTATTAAATATTCATTTTGCATTTAGTCATTTTTAATTAACAAATTAGATCAAAAATTTTGAATTTGGTAGTACTTGAAGTTTATAGGAAACTTACATATCAATTAAATTAGAGTCAACATACACTGAGAACAAATGTTGGTTCTCTAAACTAGGAAAATCTAGTTAAATAGCTGCTATCACTGCTATTTAATTGAAGTTTTTGTATTTAAAATTTTTTTTTACATTGAATTTAAACACATAGTTCCTTAAACTATTTTTAGTCAAATATGAGCTTTATATACGGAAAAAAAAAAATTAACTTAAATCAAGTAAATAATTTTGAAGAACTTAATCTTATTGATTTGAGTAAATTTCCTTTGATTCAAGAATTTTTTTCTTGATTCAAGTTAATTTTTTTTCAGTGTAGTCATTTTGATTCTCTAACTCAGAAAATAGAAAAAATAATTTGGACAGCCCGAACCGGGAATCGAACCCGGATCTTTTAGTTACACACCAAAGGCTCTTTCAGTCAAGCTATCTAAAATATCGTCTGTAACTACTTTTCAGTCATTTAATAATTTTTTGTTTAACACTATAACAAAGAGATATTTATTAAAATATATATTCCATTTAACTATCTATCAATAGTTTAGTTACTTAAACTAATGCACAGTTCAATTCTTGCCAAATTTTATTTGTATTTTATAAAAATAATTATGCATAGTTATATACATATGATTCTTATATAATTATGTAAAACAAGTTTTCATGTTTAATTGTACACAATTTTTTTATATATGGGTAATTAATTTGTTTTATTTAAATTTTAAGATCAGAAATTGGGTTTAGCTACGGAATTCGTAGTAATTGAAAGTATAGATATCTGTATTAAAATAATACAATTGCTCGAAATTTTTCCTAAAAATATTAAAAATTTATTGAGAATCTGAATGATATTTTATATGAAACTGCAACTCATTGTAATTATTCAATCTTACTCTCAGCAATTGATTCACGTAATGTGACTAGCAATCGCTCTCTTAAAAAAGCATATTATCAGATAAAATGACATCGCACTTTTGTAAGTCAGAGTAAGTCGACAATTGATATTATAAAATCAATCTTGAGTTTACATAAATGTCACTTGATTGCCGATACTTTAATAAGCGTGACGCGAATTTAATAAAATCACAACAGTAGTGTCAGTTTGAAAACATGTGGCTCGAATTAGGATTACTCGCTATATTACTAGTAATATATTACTATTACTATACAAACAATTGGAATTTCTGGTCTTCGCGTAAAGTAGTTGGTCCAAAACCGTCAATACCTTTTGGAACAGTTAGTGACATCATAACAGGCAGACACAATATCGGAACTTACCTCCAGGAAATTTATACGACTTACAGAAGAAGCAAATTAGTGGGTATTTACATGTTGCGCAAGCCAGTTGTGATTTTGAATGACTTGGATTTGGTAAAAGACGTTTTGATAAAAGACTTTAGCAAATTTGTGGACCGCGGACAAGAGATTCATGAAAATCATGAGCCCTTGGCAGTTCATTTGTTCAATTTAGAGCCTCAGAGATGGCGACCCTTAAGATCTAAACTGTCTCCGATTTTTACTTCTGGAAAATTGAAGGACATGTTCTATTTGCTGGTGCAGTGCGCTGATCAGATGGAAACTTACTTGGACAAATTCGAAAACGAACAGGTTGATATGCGTGAAATACCCGCCAGATTCGCAACGGATGTCATTGGTGTGTGCGCTTTTGGATTGCAAGCTAATGCGCTAGCGGAGGAGGACAGTCTATTTCGGAAAATGGGCAAGAGGATTTTTGAGCTGAGTATTAGGAACGTAGGGAGAGCAATTTTTGGGAATTTCATGCCGGAGCTTTATAAAGTTGTGGGGTACTTTTTTAGGGATAGTGTGCTAGATAATTTTATTATTGGAATTACCAAAGATACGATGGATTATAGAAAAAAAAATGGAATCAACAGAAAAGATTTCGTTGACCTGTTGATGGCGTTGAAAGATGAGCCAAGTAAAGTTGGGGAAATAGGCAAGAATTTAGAGTTTTTTTTTTAGTCAAATAATCGTTGTTCATAATTATTATTGTTTTGTAACATCAAATCTCGTTGCAGAATTGACAGATAAATTGTTAGCAGCCCAACTCTTTGTTTTCTTCGCCGCGGGCTTTGAAACTTCATCAACGACCATCGGTAACGCTCTCTATGAAATGGCGCTCAATCATTCGGTCCAAGAAAAACTGAGGCAAGAAATCAAAGACGAGTTGATTCGCACCGACGGAAAGTTCACTTACGAGGGAGTCAAAAATATGAAGTACTTGGATAAAGTAATAAAAGGTGCGTTTTATAAATTTATCCGATGAATAAGATAAATATTATGCGACTAATTTATTAATACTTTCTAGAAACTTTGCGAAAGTATCCACCGTTACCGTTTTTGACTCGTCGCTCAATGGAACCTTACACTTTCACCGGTACTAATCTGACAATTCCTGCAAAAACTGAAGTCTGGATCCCGATGCTTGGAATACAAAGAGACCCAGAGTACTATCCAAATCCCAGTGTCTTTGACCCCGAACGTTTCAGCGAGGAACAAGTCAAAAGTCGCCACGACATGACTTTCTTGTCATTTGGTGACGGACCGCGAAATTGCATAGGCGCACGCTTTGGTTTAATGCAATCAAAAGTAGGATTAATTTCAGTATTACGAAATCATACGGTAGATGTTTGTGATAAAACAGACCAAAATTATCAATTAAACCGCCGAGCTTTTTTGTTGGTTCCAAAAAATGGTATTTTTTTGAATATCAAAAAAGCTACGTAATTCACTTAAATTAATATGACTTATTAGATGTTATGTAAAGAATTTTTTCTTTACATATTTATTAATTATAAAAAAATCGAGTATGATTTTATTTCGTTCGATTGTAAAAAATTATTCGGACGTTATCATTAAGTGTCTTGTTTGATGACTCTGGCAAGAGGCCCGGGGAAATTCTCATAATTAGTCTGGGGCTCAAGTACATTTAAAAGATCAAATAGATAAATGAGCCCGAGAAAAAATATTTATATATAATTATATATAAATTGGTTATATATGATTATATATGAAAAATGACCAAATATAATCATATATAATTATATATAATCATATATGACTATATATAATTATATATAACAATGTTTAATTATATATTTATCACATCTAATTAATTATTGGGTTAATTTTATGGATAGAGTATTTCATATGGTCCTACGCAATTCTCTAAAAATAATTAAAATGCAAAAAAAAATGTCAGTATATAATTTTACTGCTATAACACCAGCGGTCACCCATCCAACTACTAACCCTACTCAATGCGGCTTAACTTTGGTGATCTCCGTGCGTCTTGAAGTTTCTGTCTGCTATGCTGCTATTTTAGACAATAATGATTCTATGATCGACTTAATGCATCATATGAGTTTATCTTAAATATAATATAAAAATTGATTTTATAATATATTTGGATAGTCATAGTTCATAATTAATTTATTTTAATAAACTATTCATAAAATAAATAATGATTTTACTATTAGGTAGTAGTATTAGAGCAGACCAAAACTTTTCATAGGAAATATGTAAAAAATTTGTATTTCAGAATTATTTAAACGTAATTATGAACACCATTTTGCACTTTTTGTGATTATCAAAAAAAAATTTGTTTCAAATAAAAAATTTTGATCACATCTAACTATACAAGTCTGATTAGATCTAATTATATAAAGACTCATTCATATATAATCTGATCTGATCATATATAGATATATATGGATTATACATGGGGTTATAACAGCCAAGTATGATTATATCCGAGAAAAAATTTTTATATATATGTTAATTATATATAAGCATATATAATTATATATACTTATATATAATTAGATATGAGACTATGTATAATCTTGCATGGCTGTGTATTGCTCCATATATAGTTATGTATGATTATATATGATTATATATAACCTCATATACAATTCCATATATAATCATGTATGATTATATATAATTATATATGGAACAATATATAATTCTACATGGCTGTATATTGCTCCATATATAGTCATATATAATTATATATGATTATAAATAACCTCATATACAATTTCATATATAATCATGTATGATTATATATAATCATATATAATTATACATAACTATAAATGGAGCTATACACAGCCATGCAAGATTATATATAATCATACATGATATATATATGGAACTGTATATGAGGTCATATATAATCATATATAATTATATAGAATTATATATAATCATATATAATTACATATAATCATACATGATTATATATGAAATTGTATATGAGGTTATTTATAATCATATACAATTATATATGACTATATATAGAGCAACATACAGCCAAGCAAGATTATATATAATCATACATAATTATATATAATCATACATGATTACATATGGAATTGTATATGAGGTCATATATAAGTATATATGACTATATATAGAGCAATGTACAGCCAAGCAAGATTATATATATAATCATATATGATTATATACAATTATATATGATTATATAGAAAAATTTTTTCTCGGGAGAGTTTAGTTATACGTAAGCAAGCTCACTTATACTTAAAGTAAGAAATCTTAAGTAATGACAAAGAGCATTAGAGAAAAGGATTTATTTTAATCCAAAAAATTTTAGAGTAACTTAATTACAGAATTTGAGAGTTGAGACAAATGTCTAAAAAAATTTTAATAATGCTTTTTCAAAATAATTTTTAGATAAATAAAAAATTCAATATTCAATAACAAATGAACCTTACGAATATGAAACAAATAAACGAAATAGAACTTGATAGTTAAACAATTTAAAATAAACAAATATTAAACAATGAAATTCTAAAATAATATACAACAAAATAACAAACTTATAAAATGATAAAAACAGAAATATTTCTACAATTAAATAATTAATCTCAAAATACATAAGATATGCTTAATTGAAATACATATTTATTCGTACGTTTTAAATAAATAATTTAATGTTAAGTAGTATAAATATATGTCTTTGTCTATATGTAAATGTGCTGACGTATACAAAAACACATATAGATGAAGAATAAAACATATAAGAGTAAGTGAGAAAACGATATTACACTCTGACCCAAGTAGAGGGGATTCATGCGACATTTTTGAACAAACTTAAGAGAGAGGATAAGAGCCCAAGAAAATGGTCAAATAATTGAATATTTTTCCCCCAATTAGTGGAAATTAGGAACGCCCTGAAATTCGATTCGATTTTTTGTCAAAAATCTCTCTTGCTGTCCTGACGTCCTAGTGTTAACATCGTCTGAAGATTCTTTTTTTTGAAACCACGTGTAGAAGTAAAATTAAATTGTTTTGTAAAGTGAATTATTTAAGTTACGTAAAGAATAAGTCTGAACAAGGCCTATCATTTTTATCAGATTATTAACCGGAGTTGAACAATATTTGTATTAAAATTATTTAATCTATAGATTTATATAGATCAATTTCTATTTAGACAAACTTACCATATATTCTCAATAAATTTAATCTCGGAAGTTCCCGATCTATTAGTAGATAATTAATCAATTTTAAATTGATTAATTATCAATTAATTATTTTTTTTTACATAACAAATATTACAAACAATACTCAAAAATTAAATTAAAAATTTTGTTTGATCAACTAACGGCAAAAAACTAGTGTATATGAGTAATAGCAGATGGAGCGCAAAACATCAATCGATTAGAGAACTTGAAGTTTAAAAGCCAGAAGTAATGAGAATAATATGGAAAGTTTGAAAAAGTAAAGAGAACAATAATTAATTATTTCAGTAAAATTTTTCATTAAGGAATTTGGGAAATAAAAATTTTTTTTTACACGCCTTATATATTCAGTCTAGAATTTTTCTATTCAATTTAAGGAATTTATGGGCATTTTTTTGTTAAAAGATTTTTATCTTAAAAAACATCGCTTGAAAAACTGACCTTAATTTTAAAAGCTTAAAGAAGATACGTCGGCTCGCTAACAAATGTTTGAGGAGAAAAACTAGCGTCGCTTTTTTATCGATTTTCTTCTCTAGGCGCAAGATTGGATAATAAAAGGACTAACTGAACTCAAGAAAATGTTACAACTTTTGATACTATTTTTTACTAGTTAAAGAATTTTTTTAATAAGCCTCTTTGCAAACTACTAATAATTTATGTATATAAATTAGACTATTATTTAATGAGATGTTTCATTTAAGACTATTGAGAAAAAAAATTTCAAATAATGGAAATTTTTGTTGGGACAGTTATTTAAAAATTTAAGAGCAAAAAACAGAAAAAAGCAGTTTTTATTTGTTTTCATTACTCTGGTTAGAAAGAATAATAATTTAAAACGATAGGAAAAAAATTTAAAAGCATTGAAAATATTCAGAAATATTAAAAAAATTCAAATTTTATTTTTAATTATTTTTAATTCAGAATATTTCACCAAATGAAAAAAGTTCCTAAGTACAAAAAAATGACTTTAGTTTTATTTCTTCTATTTTAAAAATTGGCTTTTAATTTAAAAATTTTTAAAGTTTTCTTTATGGCTTTTACTTTTGTAATTATTTGAAAATAAGTCAAAAAATTAAAAATGCAATTTTTGAAAAATAATTTTATGACATTTAGAAATTTTAAAAAACTAAAAATGCAATTTTTTTATTTTCTTTAACAAATAAATTTGTTCCAAAAAATTGCATTTTTAAGTTTTTAAAATTTCTAATTGTCAACTTTTTTTGGCATAATTTATTTGTTACAAAAATTTTTAAAACTATCAAATATCTGCTAAATTAATTTTTATAATAATTTTTTGAACAAAATTTGCTTGAAGAAAATTAAAAAATTGTCAAGTGACAGCTAAATTTAATGTCATTTTTCAATGAAAATTGTTTTGGAATATATATGATGATTTCAAAATTTTTTTAGCAAATCAATTATGGCAAAAATAAAATTTCAAAAAAAATTGACTTGTAGAATTTTTAAAAAATAAAAAATGCAATTTTTGGGAACAAAATTGGTTGGTGAAGAGAATTAAAAATACGATTTTTAAAAAATAATTTTATGACATTTAGAAATTTTAAATTTTTTAATTATCTTAAAAAACTGAATTTGTTCCAAAAAATTATTTTTAAAAAATTGCATTTTTAATCATTAAAAATTTCTACAAATCAATTTTTTTTCTAATTTTTTTTTTTTGCCATAATTTATTTGTTACAAAAATTTCTAAAACTATCAAAAATCTGCTAAATTAATTTTATTAATTTTCATAATAATTTTTTAGAACAAATTTGCTTGTTGAAGAAAATTAAAAATACAATTTAAAAAAATTAATTCTGACATTTAGAAATTTTTAAACACTAAAAATGAAATTTTTTAATTATCTTAAAAAACTGAATTTGTTCCAAAAAATTATTTTTAAAAAATTGCATTTTTAATCATTAAAAATTTCTACAAATCAATTTTTTTTCTAATTTTTTTTTTTTGCCATAATTTATTTGTTACAAAAATTTCTAAAACTATCAAAAATCTGCTAAATTAATTTTATTAATTTTCATAATAATTTTTTAGAACAAATTTGCTTGTTGAAGAAAATTAAAAATACAATTTAAAAAAATTAATTCTGACATTTAGAAATTTTTAAACACTAAAAATGAAATTTTTTAATTATCTTAAAAAACTGAATTTGTTCCAAAAAATTATTTTTAAAAAATTGCATTTTTAATCATTAAAAATTTCTACAAATCAATTTTTTTTCTAATTTTTTTTTTTTGCCATAATTTATTTGTTACAAAAATTTCTAAAACTATCAAAAATCTGCTAAATTAATTTTATTAATTTTCATAATAATTTTTTAGAACAAATTTGCTTGTTGAAGAAAATTAAAAATACAATTTAAAAAAATTAATTCTGACATTTAGAAATTTTTAAACACTAAAAATGAAATTTTTTAATTATCTTAAAAAACTGAATTTGTTCCAAAAAATTATTTTTAAAAAATTGCATTTTTAATCATTAAAAATTTCTACAAATCAATTTTTTTTCTAATTTTTTTTTTTTGCCATAATTTATTTGTTACAAAAATTTCTAAAACTATCAAAAATCTGCTAAATTAATTTTATTAATTTTCATAATAATTTTTTAGAACAAATTTGCTTGTTGAAGAAAATTAAAAATACAATTTAAAAAAATTAATTCTGACATTTAGAAATTTTTAAACACTAAAAATGAAATTTTTTAATTATCTTAAAAAACTGAATTTGTTCCAAAAAATTATTTTTAAAAAATTGCATTTTTAATCATTAAAAATTTCTACAAATCAATTTTTTTTCTAATTTTTTTTTTTTGCCATAATTTATTTGTTACAAAAATTTCTAAAACTATCAAAAATCTGCTAAATTAATTTTATTAATTTTCATAATAATTTTTTAGAACAAATTTGCTTGTTGAAGAAAATTAAAAATACAATTTAAAAAAATTAATTCTGACATTTAGAAATTTTTAAACACTAAAAATGAAATTTTTTAATTATCTTAAAAAACTGAATTTGTTCCAAAAAATTATTTTTAAAAAATTGCATTTTTAATCATTAAAAATTTCTACAAATCAATTTTTTTTCTAATTTTTTTTTTTTGCCATAATTTATTTGTTACAAAAATTTCTAAAACTATCAAAAATCTGCTAAATTAATTTTCATAATAATTTTTTGGAAAAAATTAGCTTATTAAAAAAAATAAAAACATAGTCAAGTGTCAGCTAAATTAACAGTAATTAATTTTAATTTAAAGTCGATATTATAGGCTTACCAAATAGGCGGCAGTAGTTTTTTCCAATATTATATTTTAGTTTGTCAAGTTGCTGATCTAAACTTTACCGGCTGACGAAATTCGAAATGGTGGGGGTAAGAAATGATCTACGCCTGGCTAGTTAAAACTCGTTCTTTCCGTATATATATATTAAAGCTCCTGCATTTGTAACAAATTATTCAGTTAAACTTTTGCCGCAGTCGGTCAATATTTGTTATTAAAGCAGCTTTATTATTAACTATAGTTTGGGGTTATATTTATTATATTTTCCTCTAAAGCTTTGTGTGCTATTGGTCAGTGTGATCATAAAAACAAATTCCAGTGATTTATAAAACCACTGTAGCCCGGAAGATTGATTTGTCAACTGTTTTCATCAGAGTTCCAATATAAAAAAAAAAAAATAACATGTAAGTAATGTCATTGTTGTATAAAATAGATTTTGTTTATATTTCATTTAAAATAATGCTTCCTTATAAGTGTGTAAAGGTTATCTTCAAGTTAAGCTCTTTGTTAAGATAATCTTCTGAAAATAAATGTACACATGTTAAATTCATAGAATATTTAAGATTGTACTCTACTTGCTGAAAAATCTTTTGTACTTTTCATTTGTCGGGACATGTTAAGTGTTTTTTTTTTTTTTTTTTTTTTTTTTTTATATTTTTTGGCTCGTAGAATACGTATCTGATAATTGTTTTTGGATCTGCGGCTGCGCTTAAAATTTATAAACAAATTAATTGTTTTAAATGATTTTTTTTTATTTAATATTTTATGTTAATTTTATATTGTGTCTTAATAATTTACTAATTTAATTGTTACTATTGTTATGATTATTTAGGAGTAAAAAAATGTCATGACAATGAAATTGAAGGACATCTGATAATTTTTAGAAATTTTTTTACTGAAAAATTTATTTTAAAAAATTCTATCTTTAGAAGCTTAAAAAAAATATAAATGCTATTTTTTTTTAATAATTTTTTAGACCTGGTTTATTTTTTAAGAAAAATAAAAAAATTTTCAAGTATCTGCAAATTTTTATTTCATTTAATTATGTCAATTAAATTGAGACATTTGATTTTTGAATCAATAAATAATTTTTAAAAATTGCATTTAGAATTTTTCAAATTTTCTACGTGTCAAATTTATTTTAAATAAAAAAATTCTAAAAATTTTTAGATAGCTAACTGAATTTCCATAATAATTTTTTAAAGTTTTTAATTAATGAATTATGCCTAAAAAAAAATTATTTAAAAAATTCCATATTTAGAAGCTTAAAAAAATTATAAATGCAATTTTTTTAAAATAATTTTCTGGACTTAGTTTATTTTTCAAGAAAAATAAAAAAATTATAAAGTATTTGCAAAGTTTAATTTTTATGTAAATTATGACACAAATTGAGAGACGACTTATAATTTTTAGAAATTTTTTGACTAATAAATTATGCTTAAAAAATGACATTGAAGTTAGCAGTCACTTGACAATTTTTTAGTTTTATTTAAAAAACAAATTTGTTTCGAACAATTATTTTAAAAAAATTACATTTTTAATTTTTTTTAAGTTTCTGCATGTCAATTTGTTTTGCAATAATTTGTCATAAAAATTCTCCAAATTATTAAATATCTGCTAAATTAATTTTCATCTAAAAAAATTTATTTAAAAAATTCCATCTTTAGAAGCTTAAAAAAATTGTAAATGCATTTATTTCCAGTCACAATGGCATCAAATGCAGGCATCAACACAGAAAACGTACAATTTTTTGAAGGTGTTGAAAAACTTTTAGAAGTTTGGTTTACCAATTCTCATAAAGAAGATCATAAGGGAGATCTTCGAGATATTCCGAGGTAAGTTTTAACGAAATATTAATAATTTATAAACAATTTTTCATATTAAAATATTCAAAAAATACGTATTGAAAAATTTTAATTGGTATACTAAAAAAATTTTTCGATTGTAAAACACTCTCTGATGCTTCCCATCATGAGTCGTGCAATTTTTGCAAAATAAAAATTTGCTTTTGGATGAAAAGTTTAAAAATCTATTTTTTTAAATTTTACATTTTTTATATATTTTTAATATATATTGTAATTGTGTACTTTTAATAGTTACAAAGAAAAAAATAAATTATAAAATACGCTCAAATTCTAGTTAATTTTGCCACGTAGTCACTAATTACACGTTGAGTAAATCAACAATTACGTGAAAAGTCTTGACTAGCCAGGCTACAGGGATTCTTCAGAAATTTTTTTCTAACGAGAAAATTTTTTTTTATACCCAAAAAAAGCTTCTAAAACAATGTGCAAAAAAAACTTAAAAATCATTAATTATAATTCCATACTATCATTCTCTTAATCGTTTTTTTTTTTTTCTAAGACATCGCTGGGAGTCACTCTTGAAAATTGTTCGCTGTGAGATTATCAGTTTCTGTCAAAATGAGGACATAGAAGCTTACGTTCTTAGGTAATTAAAAATACATTTTTTTTTATTTAATAATAAACACGAATTATTACGGTATAACTAAAAAATTTTAAATATTTATTTAATTCAAATTTTTGATATTATGGCAAAACTATTAGTCTTATAAAAATTTTTTTCAAACAAAAGTTCAAAATTTAATTTTATAAAAAAAATATCTTATGATTTTTTTATACGAGCAATATTTTCACCGTAATTTCAAAAGTAAAATTCATAATTATCACAAAATTTGAAGAACCTTTCATTATGAATGTTAATTTTGGAATTACAGCAAAAATAGTATGCTTTTTTTTTTTTTTTTTTTTTCTAAATTATAGGAATCATTTTTTTTTATAAAATTAAATTTTAAACAACTTTTGAATAATTTTTTTTATAAGACCAATATTTTCGTAGTAATATTAAAAATTTGAACGATTTATTTTAAAATTGCGGCAAAAATTTTGGCACTACTCATTATATTTTAATTGTGTTGACCGTGATATTGATATTAAAAGTTGATAATGTCTTCTTAAAACTACTTTTAGCTCTCCATAAGATTCAAAAAAATTTTAATAAAGCCATAGATAAAAATTTATTTTTAAACACAGTTGTCACTATGTTAAATAGTGAAAATAATTTCTTGTATTATAATTAAAAATTCGCAGTGAAAGCAGTCTGTTTGTGTCTAAGCGTCGGTTGATTTTAAAGACCTGTGGTACAACTACTCCGTTGCAGTGTATGGAAGCACTACTTGATCTGGTTGAAGAATATACTGGATTTGACGAAGTAGAGGTAAAAATTTTCTGCTGATAAACAATCATTATTATTGAATATTTTTTCGCTGAAAAAAAAAGCTATAAAACATTATAAACTGATATTTTCAGGATTTATGTTACTCTCGAAAAAACTACAAACAACCGGAGTTGCAAATCTCGCCTCACTGCTCTTTTGAAGAAGAAGTCGCTTTACTGGACTCAATATTTTCTGGTAAATAATTCTTACCTTCTGCATATTATAATTTATAGTTCCTAAAATAATAAATTTTTTCTAGATGGAGAAGCTTATTGCTTAGGAGATGCTGATAAAAATTGTTGGTATTTATACACTTTGAATCGTAAGAGGTCATCTCAAGGACCTAAAGAACCTGATCAGACTTTGGAAATACTAATGACCAATCTCAATTCTGATGTTATGTCTCTCTTCACTCGTGAAAGATGCTCATCTGCTGCTGAAGCTACCAAAAAATCTGGAATAGATCGAATAATTCCGAACATGGTCATTGATGATTTCCTTTTTGAACCTTGTGGTTATTCCATGAATGGAGTTTCTAAGAATGTAAGTATTTTTTTTATTAATTAAATAGTAAAAAAATTATTTTTTAAACAATTGCACTTTTATTTTTTTTATTTGACAATTTTTTCCATAGAAAAAATTTTTAAATGTCAATTTAATTTTTTTTTTAATTAATATACACGGAAAAAAAATTAATAATACTAAAATTAGCCGACGTTTTTAAATTTTTAATAATTAAATTAGAAAAAAAAAATATTTTTTAAAAATTAGTTTTTCAAATTTTTTTTTATTTTTTTGTAATAATTTTTTCAATAAAAAAATATTCTAAAAATTTTTAGATTTCAGCTAACTTTCATAAAAAATTAACTTTAATAAAAAAAAAATATTTTTTAAACAAGAAAATAATTTTATAAAAAAAAATTATTGAATTAAATTAAATTTTTTCTATTTAAAAAAAAAAAAGATGATAAAATTATTTTATCAATTCAATTTTTTTTGTATAATTAAAAAATTAAAATTAATGTAAATTAAGACATTGAAAGTTGCTGATTAAGATATTCATATCGCTATTTTTAATATAATTTTATTTCCGTGTATTTTATAACTTATCAATTTATTTATTGGAAATGAATATTATCTCAAAGTTATAAGATCAACTGCAAATTTTTTAAACAAAGTTCTTTATCATATGTTAATAAATTATAAATGAGAGTTAGACCAAATAAAGCGTGAATCTTAGAACGTCACAATACTCAGCTAGAGTTACTATGAAAATGTAATGTTACAAAATGCCTCAGTGATTAGAGTAGAGTTATAAAAGTTTACGGGTCACCGATCCGATAACGAGAGTCAACACCAGAACTAACCGATCACGGGCATAAGGTCAAAACTGATAAACTAACAAGATCTTGATTTTTTTTTTTTTTTTTTTTTTTTTTTTTTTTTTTGTCATTTTGAACTTTATTAATTTAGAATATAAAATTGAGAATAGCAAAGAAAAAATTTTTAGATTTACGTAGTTATGCGCCATTTTTTAGATGTGCGGAGTTAGGAAGAGATCAATATCCTCGAGCATGTATATCTACTTAGATGCACATATGTTGATTAAAAAAAAAAAAAAATTGTAAGTTAAGGATGGAGCTCAACGTATATTTGGATTAGAATTTTAATACGCTTATAATTTTGTATATTTAAGTAGATTTTTTTTATTAAAAAAATTTGGTAAATTTAAAAATTGAAATTTTTTAGTGATTTTTTACGGGCTTTATCGAAGTGATAAGTAAACTAGTTAAAACTTAAAATAAAAAAAAATTTTTTTTCATAAGTTCATTTTTAAGAAAATTATTAATATTTGAAATTAAAAAGGCTTCTTATAAAAAATTCATTTTTTATAGATTGATTGAAAAAAAAAACTTTCAATTTTAAGAAAAATACCCATGATACGGAAATTAAGCCATTTGATAATTTTTAGAAATTTTTTAAATAATAAATTATAGCTAAAAAAAATTATTTAAAAAATTCTATATTTCCAAATATAGAATTAAAAAAAAATGCAATTTTTTAAAAATAATTTTCTGGACCTGGTTTATTTTTTGAGAAAAATAAAAAAATTTTCAAGTGTATGAAAAGTTTAATTTCATAAAATTATGACACTGAAATTTAGAGACATTTTATCATTTCTAGAAATTTTTTAACTAATTTATTTATAAGTATTTATCACAATAAATTAACTATTTTAGAAAAGCATATAAAACATTGAATAGGCACTAATTCAGGTTAAGAACTTTCCAATGATACTAAATTTAATTTAAAAAACTCATTTTATTATAAAAATATAGCAGCCAAAATTTTCCTTATTCTCTTAATTATATAGATTAATAATTGATATAATTAAATACTGATTAATCAATAATAAACCATGAAGATCGTAATTGTAAGATGGTTTTAACGGCACAGAGTTTTGTATGGATTGGCTGCTCTCATGCAGATTTTTGAACAGCACTCCATGGCATACGTGCACTGAAAAATTTTGAATCATTAATCATAGTTCATTTTTCATTTACAATTATACTAAGAGAAAAAATTGTTTGTAAATTTGGGAAAAAAAAATTTTTTGATAAAAATTCGCAAGTTGTCAATTTAAAAATATTTTTTTTTCAAATCAAAAAAACTTTTTTCAACAAGGAAGTTAGGGTGAGAAAAATTTTTATTTCTTCAGTTGAGAAATAAAATTATTAAAAATTTTCAATAAATGAATTTCTTATTACAATGCTCATTTTTTTCAAAAGAATTTTTTTTTCTCAGTGGAATAAAAAAATTTTATAGAATCTTACCGGAGCGCCGGGTCCCTTGCATTTTGGTTTGCCTCCTTCGACAATTTGGGGCATAACTATAGCAGCAATTATGCAAAGAGCGATGAGAATGAATAGTACTTTCGACATTATTAGAGATATAAGCTCATCCCGATGTTACACTTATCAAGACCTTTCATTTGAGTACCCACATCAATTTTTCATATATTTTATATATTTATATATTTCACAAATACCATATATATGAAATATATAAAAAATGCCATGTGGGTACTTAAATGAAAGGTCTCGATGAGTATAACATCGAAATGAGTTTATATCTTAAAAAATGTCAATAATTAAGAAATGACATTATATTATGTCAACTAATGATATTTTCAAAGATATAAGCTCATCCTGACATTACACTCTTCAAGACCTTTCATTTGAGTACCCACATCAATTTTTCATATATTTATATATATTATATATATATGTATATATGAAAAATATATAAAAATGCATGTGGGTACTCAAATGAAAGCTCTTGATGAGTGTGACATCATAATGAGCTTATATTTTTAATAATGTCAATATTTAAGAAAATACAGTGCAATTTAATAAAGCAAACTTTTATCTACTTATGTTTCACAGGTCACGGCAGTCACATAGTAGTGACTGCAAGTTTGCTGGTATAGATTAATAATAAATATACAATTTAATTTCAGGGAAGCTACATGACAATCCACATCACTCCAGAGCCCGAATTTTCTTATGTTTCCTTTGAAACTAACATTCCTGCAAGCAATTACGAAGATTTAATAAAAAGTGTTTTAGAAACATTTCAACCTGAAAATTTTGTGATAATAATGTTTGCTAACAAGGAATCGATTGCAGCCAACACTCCACTTAAGTTTAAACAAGTAAATTATCTGAACTTCAATGGGGAGTGGTTACGTGATGATATTCAGTATTGTCGATTCAAAAATTATGATCTCACTTGTGCATTTTATTCGAAATTTCCAAGCTGACGGTTCCAAGAAAACCTATCTCAAGTTCCTATTGTAAAAAACATTGATAGGAAGAATGCTTGTCTAAGTAATTCTCATGTTTATCAATCTCAAAGCAACAAAAAATTTGTTTACTATAATCGAACTCTAGAAGAAATGTTAGTATCTTTGCTTCTGAATAAAAAGATTCTATTGACAAAAGTAGATGTAATTAATATTAATAAATATAAATCAACTTTGGGATTTGTCAAAAACACTGAAAATTTTTTTAATAATTTTTTTATTTATTTATCTCCCATTAAAAAATATACTAAGTTTTTACACTTAATAAATTTACCTAAAGAGATTAAAAATTTTGCCGTAAATAGGTCGGAAAAGAGAACAGACAGTTCTACATTTATATAATAATCTATTTCTTATAGTTGAATTAAACATGTCATCAATATATTTTCTTACAAGTCAATTAGAATAATTACTCTACAAATTATAAATAATACTTCAATGGAATCAATAATAAAAAAAAGTAAATAAATAATTTAAAATTATTTAAGGTAAAGTACTCAGTAGTTAAACAGGTTTCAAAGTAGAACGTATTTGACCATATTTTTAATAAATAAAGATGTAATTATTTGTTCAAATTAATAATTTTCATGAAAATATAAACAATTTTTAATTAATTGAAGCGCAAAATAACAAAGATAATTAAATTTTCAACGTTTTATTGAAATATCCAAAGATTTATAACATATTATTGATTAATATTAAAAATAATACTGTGAATATTTAATATGTTCATTTAAAAATGAGAAATATTTGTATTTAATTTTTTACACAGAAAAAAAGGTTCACTTGAGCCAATAAAATATTTTTCTTCCTAATTATTTTATTGAGCGAAAAAAAAATTTTTCTTGGCACAAGAAATTTCACTTATTCCAACAAAATTAATTCTCCTGCTTTAAGAAATACGTATCTTGATCCAAGAAAATTTATTTGTCAAGAAAATCTTGTTGTTTTGAGAAAATTCGGCCTCTTGCTCTAAAAAATTTAGTTCTTGATAGAAGTAAATTTTTTAAAAATGAGAAATATTTGTATTTAATTTTTTACACAGAAAAAAAGGTTCACTTGAGCCAATAAAATATTTTTCTTCCTAATTATTTTATTGAGCGAAAAAAAAATTTTTCTTGGCACAAGAAATTTCACTTATTCCAACAAAATTAATTCTCCTGCTTTAAGAAATACGTATCTTGATCCAAGAAAATTTATTTGTCAAGAAAATCTTGTTGTTTTGAGAAAATTCGGCCTCTTGCTCTAAAAAATTTAGTTCTTGATAGAAGTAAATTTTATTGTCTTGAGAAAATTTCTCTCTTGCTCCAAAAAATTAAATATAAAGATAGAAGTAAATTTTCATTAATATTTTTATTGATTAACATGTCAAATGGGAAGATCAAATAATATTTCATCATTTTTTTTCATTCAATGTGTATAATTGCACGCTAAAATAATATAAAATGGGTATCAAATATTCAAGAGAAAAATTTTCTCAAGGTGAGAAAATTTTTTTCTCAGCTGAAGTAAATGGCGCTGCTTCCCTAAAGTATCTAAAAATTTTGATCAAATATAAAAATTTATTGTATCAAGTATTTATGATAGAATTAAGAAAAAATTACTATCAAGAATAGAATTTCAAGAAAAATTTTTACTTCGGTCTTCCTTCAGGCAGCTGAAAATTTTCTTGAGCCAAGAAGTTTGTTCTCCAGTCAAGAAATTTTTCTCTCTGTGTAAACATATACCTCGTTAGAAAGCAATAAAATACTCAGTTGAAGGATTCAATTCTAAAGTAGAGATTTTTTTTATTTCTATCCAAGAGTTATCATTTATATATTAAAATTTAATGTTTTCTTTAATTAAGAGATGTAAATATCTTGGAACAAGGCTGGAATTTAGAAGAAAAATATTTACTAGAATTTTGTTCTCCAGTTAAGAAACTTTTCTTTCTGTGTATGAATGACAAAGCAAATTTTCAATTATAAATAAAAAAAAAACTCAATTCAAAACGTTCAATAATTTTTAATTACACTAATTTTTAGCTACAAAACTTATTTAATTTGCAGCAATTAATTCAAATTACATTACTGATCACTAGTCTATAAACCTATTAGAGATTAGAGTGCTGTTAAAATTATACGGCCCCAGCTTGTTCAGGTTATGGGTACCGCTTTGAAAATTGGGAGGTATAATTAGACGCTAAAATTTAATATAAAAATTATAGTTTATGTTTTTGCAAAAAATATGTTTTTTTTTAAGTTAACAAAAATATTATTGTTTTGATTTATAATTGAAAAAACTTACAGAAATCAATTACTGTATCATTGAATAATTACAATATGCGCATATTACTCATAATAAATTTACGGATTTTGTATTACAACAATTCGAAAAGTCTGTTCAAGTACTGGTCCCATTTTTATGTGTTCAAGTACTGGGTACTTTATCTTAAATCATTTAAAAAAATTATCTTTGATGTCTAAAAGGAATATTTATGCTAAAGTTTCTTCTAAACAACAAATAATATACAGTGATATAGATATTATTAATTTTAAAAAAATACAATATTCTTTTATAAATAATCTTACTATTAAAGCTAAAAAACCAAAAAAATATTCTGCGGATAGATCTATTAAACTGAATATAAATACTGCATGCATAATATGTAATTTATTATGAATATCGTACCTTTATTTTACTCCTATCCAAAGAAAAAAAAAAACATTTATTTTCAGGTTGAGGAAATAGTCAAAGAAGTAACGCTGGAAGTAACTTTTTCCTTTCCTATAACTTAGTATGAAGAATTCCAATCTTCAGGAAATGATGTTTTTAAAAATAAAAATTTTATGTTAAAAAAAATGTTTATATCTATTATTAATATCGAGAATTATTCAGGATGATAAATGCTTATTGTAAATCATGTTAATTTTGAAATAATACTATCAATATTGATAATAAATACTAAAGATGTTTAATGACACTCAAATCAGCAGACACGTTATCATTATTTAATTTTATTTAATAAATAAATTAGTTTTAGAAAAAGTATTGATATTATTGTTATTTCCAATCCCTAAATGTGGAATTTTTTATCCTACACTGAGAAAAAATTAAAAAAAAAATTAGTCATGTAATAAGAAATTTATTTTATATTGTAGCTGAAGAAATAAAAATTTTTTATTGTTATTTTTTTTCTTGAAAAAAAAGGTTTCTAAATTTGGAAAAAAAAAAATTTTTTTTAACAAGAAAATTACTAAGAGAAAATTTTTTATTTCTCCAAATTAAATTTCTTCTCTCAGTGTAATAAAATTAACCGATATTCAACAATTGCACGCATAATTTTTAAAACTTTCTACATGTGAAATTTTTTCAATAAATTTTTTTTTAATAATTTTTTCAATAAAAAAATTTCTAAAAATTTTTAGATGTCGGCTAGCTTAATTGTCATCTAAAATCAGCTGACAATTTTTTAATTATTGTTTTTATTCATTAAATTACAAATAAAAGATTTTTTCAAAATTGCATTTAATTAAAAAGTTTTTAAATTTTCTACTTATAAAATTTTTATTTGTAATGATTTAAAAAAAAAAAAAATTGTCAAATCATGACATTAAAGTTAGCAGTCACTTGATAATTTTTTAATTTTACTTAAAAAAATTATTTTTAAAAAATTGCATTTTTTGTTTTTTAAAATTTCTACATGTCAATTTTTTTTGCCATAATTTATTTGTTAAAAAATTCATAAAATTATCAAATATTTGCTAAAGTAATTTTCATCTTTTAATTTTATAATCTTAAAAAAATTATAAAAATTATCACCTGTCACTTTTAAATTCTTCTGACATCTAAAGATTTTTACAATTTGTTTTTATTAAAAAAATTATTACAAAAAAATTATTAAAAAAAAATTTCACTTGTAAGAAACTTGAAAAACTGTAAGTGTAATTTTTAAAAAATGTTTTTTTGTTCTAATTTAATTGATGAAAAAAAAATTAAAAATGTCGGCTAACTTTTGTGTTATTGAAAATTAAGTTAGCCGACGCTCAAAAATTTTTGTTTTTTTTTTTTTTTTAAAAATTAAAACTAAAAAACTATTTTTAAAAAATGACCCTTTTAGAGAAAACAATAGATAAGAAAAAAAAATTCTTGAGACATGAAGAGCAAACAACTTCCAGAGATAAATTTGCGTATTCTAGATCTCTCAATATTTTTCCTGAGTTATAATAATTATTTTTATCATTCACTATCTGTTAAAGAAAATTATAATTTGGAAATTTTTTTTATTTTGATTCATATTAATTGTGAAAAAAAGTATTTAAAAAAAAAATTGCACTTTTAAATTTCTAGTGTGGAATTTTTTTATTAAAAATTTTTTCATCATGATTTAAAAGTTAAAAAATCCAAAAAATTCAGAGATATCTGTCAATTTCAGTATCAATGATTTGAATTAATAATACCACAGATTTTTTAATCAGGGGTGCTCCTTCAGAGCTAGAAATTTATATTAAAGATTTAGAAATTATGATAATGCCCATTTCTTACAATCATGGGTATTACACTTGTACCTGGTAAAGTTCGTGAATTTATTTAAAAAAAATTAATATAAAGCAATCAGGTGTATTCAAGGATACGACAGAAATCAACAATTTTTTAGTTTGCTCATTATTTTTATTTAAATTAATAAACTTTATAATACCAAAAATTTCATGACATTAAAGTTAGCAGTCACTTGATAATTTTTTAATTTTACTTAAAAAAATTATTTTTAAAAAATTGCATTTTTTGTTTTTTAAAATTTCTACATGTCAATTTTTTTTGCCATAATTTATTTGTTAAAAAATTCATAAAATTATCAAATATTTGCTAAAGTAATTTTCATCTTTTAATTTTATAATCTTAAAAAAATTATAAAAATTATCACCTGTCACTTTTAAATTCTTCTGACATCTAAAGATTTTTACAATTTGTTTTTATTAAAAAAATTATTACAAAAAAATTATTAAAAAAAAATTTCACTTGTAAGAAACTTGAAAAACTGTAAGTGTAATTTTTAAAAAATGTTTTTTTGTTCTAATTTAATTGATGAAAAAAAAATTAAAAATGTCGGCTAACTTTTGTGTTATTGAAAATTAAGTTAGCCGACGCTCAAAAATTTTTGTTTTTTTTTTTTTTAATTAAAAATTAGAACTAAAAAACTATTTTTAAAAAATTCCACGGATAATTTTTAAAATTTTCTACAAGTGAAAATTTTTGTTTTAATTTTTTAAAAATTATTTTTCAATAAAATAAATTTTCAAATGTCAGCTAATTATGATACTAAAGTTAGCCGACGTTTTAAATTATTTGATTTGTTTTTTAATAATTGAATTAAAACGAAAAAATATTTTTAAAAAATTTCACTTATTGTTTTTGAAGTTTTTTACAAGTGACATTTTTTTTTTTAATAATTTTTTCAATAAAAAAAAATTCTAAATATGTTTAATTGTCGGCTAACTTAATTTTCATCGGCTAATTTAATTTTTCATTAGTTTATTAATCACAATAAATAAATAAAAAATAAATTAACTTGTCAGTCGATACCACAAAAACCCGCCTTAATATTTTCACATTTAAATTTTCGCGCGCTCTTCTAGATGGCGCGAAATTTAAACCCAAAAATCCCCAGCTGTCAGTTTTCTAGTTTTTTTTAATTTATCCTGCGCAAGGGATGAAAATAAATAGATGCGCGTGCGCATAACTACACCTCGTGTCAGTCGGTCACGACACCGAAAAAAAATTCACTATTCCGGTCGCTTTTCCTCATTCAGCCGGCCATGATGTTGAATGCTGTAACGAAAGCTGCCGCTGGGGCCCTTCGGGCCGTCAAACCCGCATTATTACAACCCGAAGTCGCTAAAGTTTCTGGAGTCCTCTCCGTAAACAGTAAGTACTCATTTTCACTCACTTTACACCAATTATTATTAAAACAATTCACGACTCACCTGAGTGTAAGTACCCAAATTTTTGGTCCCCTTCCCGTCTCCCATTTTCACCTCATTCATTAAAATTCCTCTGACATTGACTAAAAATCAATTTCTTTCAAGTTTTACTCCTAAGTCAGTAATTAATTTATAATTAAAAGCACCAATTACCTAAGTGTCATTAAAAACTCGGATAAATCGATTATATAAGTGAGATTTCTGTATTCTCGACCACGAAACACGGTTCCATTACACATCGTGTCCAACATGGCGGACCTTCCTCAAGTTTTCACTCCCAGATAAATTACACTCAATACAAAATTAAAAATAATGATTATCCGCGAGTTAAATATATTTTTAATAAATTTCTTTCAGGGATAATTTATATAATACTCATTAACTAGGTGACTTTATTTCATAATTATTGATTTTTAATAGTTATGTAACTGCATTACCTAATATTTATATTTTTAAGTTTCTAATGACAATTATTCAATTGAGGATCTAGGATAGAACCAGATTTAAGAGCCAGCAATTGAAATGTTGATAATTATTGACCAGGTTAAAATCAATGCAGTTTCCATCTGAGACCGTCGAAATAATAATTGATAAATAATAATAATAATCTTGGGAGAAATTACCAGTTCTAAATCGAATGAATCCGTCTTTGGCGAGGAAAGCGACGTGGAACATATTTTCAATGGTTTTTCCAAAGTCACCGGGATCGAGGATGAGCTTGAAATAATCAATAGGCTGCTGCTTCCCGTTGTCTTTATAAACTTTCCTGATGAGCTTGCGAAGATTATCAAGAATCGGTTTGTTGCCGTCGTTGTCAGCGTCGCCCTCGACTTGGATAACGTTATCGGGACGCGTGGTGGTCACATTCGGGTCGTTCAATCTCGTGCGATTCATTTTCGCGGCATGCTGTTCGGCGTAGGCATTGCGCCTCTGGCTGCTCAGTATATTTTCAGTCTTAACCGAGCCCTTGGGTCTTGCTTCGTCGTTGCTTCCGCTGTCATTCAAACTGTTGTCGCCGCTGCCGTTCTTGTCGCGCTTGTTTCTCCTCTCACCGACGCACATTATCTTGTTCAGCAGGTTCACGTAAGTCGCGGTGGCTTTGAACGCCGGAACATCCTTCCGCAGCATCGACCAGTTGACATCCGCGACCGTCGTGTCCGGCAATTGCTGGACGTACTCCATCTGATTAAATTTAAATAAATTAGACCAACGAGTCGACTGTTTATCTTAGCAGAGACCAAGACTTACCAATTTATGAGCAAACTCCATGCTGCTGAACGTGTTGTACTCCTTGGTCAGGACTTGGGTGCAAGACTTTATGACTTTTGACGACACGCTCATCAATTCCGAGTCCATCACCACTTCATCCTGATTGCTGACTGTTTAACAGATAATTCATTTTTATTTTTTTCTAATTCAGATTTTTTTTTTTACAGGACGCGAATATGCAGCTGCCAAACCAGCGCCAAAACCCGGCACAGTTCAAGGGAGGGTAGTAGCTGTTATTGGTGCCGTCGTCGACGTGCAGTTCGACGATGCTTTGCCACCAATTTTGAACGCCTTGGAGGTCCAGAACCGTACACCCCGTCTGGTACTCGAGGTCGCTCAGCATCTTGGAGAAAACACCGTTCGTACTATTGCCATGGACGGTACTGAGGGTTTGGTTCGTGGACAGCCTGTCATGGACTCCGGCTTCCCCATTCGTATCCCAGTGGGTGCTGAAACTCTAGGTCGTATCATCAATGTCATTGGAGAGCCCATTGACGAGCGTGGTCCAGTTAACACCGACAAGTTGGCAGCTATCCACGCTGAAGCTCCCGAGTTCGTGGACATGTCCGTCGAGCAAGAGATCTTGGTCACTGGAATCAAGGTCGTTGACTTGTTGGCTCCTTATGCCAAGGGTGGAAAAATTGGTAATTATTTTTTCCAATTTTATTTTTTTTTATTTTTTAGCTAATTATTAGAAAAAATTTTTTCTTTGTCTTCAAATGATATTTTTTTTTTTTTAACCAGGTCAATTTCAAATTTTAAAAGAGAAAATTATTATTATAATTAATTGTTTTTTAAAAAGTTGATATGAAATTTTTTAACAATTATTTTTTTCAAGAACGAAATTATTGAAACAGAATGCTATAATTTATTTAAATTAAATTGTTTGAATTTTTTTGACTATATTTTGAATATTATAATAATTAAAAGTAAAGAATTTTTTATTTTGATATTCTACGAACATAGACAAGTTACGATCAAAGAAGTTAGAAAAAAAATAATAAACATAGGTACTTGTTCAGTTTAAAGACAACGGAAATGATTTTTAAGAAATTGAATTTTAAGACCAGGAATTTAATTATAAAATTGAATTTTTTTCATTTAAAAAAAAATTAGAATTTTTATTTGAATTTCTTTTTAAAGAAAATAATTTAAAATGTCTGAAATAAATTTTTTCGTCCAACAAATTTTTTAAATAATAAAAAAATAACAATTTTTAAATACCTACAGTAAAACAAATCGGATTAGAAATTACAATTTTATAAAAGAGAAAGCTCAAGGATAGTCTTGACCAAAGGACAGCTCAAAAAAAAATTTTTAAGAGGTCACTCCAAATTTTTCAAAATTTCAAAAATCGAATT